GTGGTTGTTGAAGGACGCGGGGTTGTGGTTGGCGTAAGGTCCGGTATGGTTTGGCGTTGGTAGGTCGAGGTGCGGATACCACGATTGAATGGCGTGCTCCGGTATGAAATGCACGTACGACTGGAGGCAGCCCGTACGATGCCAACAAAACTCATTTTGCCCCATTTCCGTCTTGTTGTTGTCGGGGCCGTGAACCGTGGGTGCACGTTTTGGACCGTCACGACAGGGACGACGGTACCGCCGACTGCTGCTGCAACCACGCCGCCCACGCCAGGTGACTCCAGCGTCCGTGTTTGCTGTAGCACGGCTGATGGTGTGCTAAGTGGTTGTTGAAGGACGCGGTGTTGTGGTTGGCGTAAGGTCCGGTATGGGTTGGGGTTGGTAGGTCGAGCTCCGGATACCACGATTGAATGGCGTGCTCCGGCATGAAAGGCACGTACGACTGGAGGCAACGCGTACAACGCCAACAAAACTTGTTTTGCCCCATTTCCGTCTTGGTGTTGTCGGGACCGTGAACCGTGGGTGCACGTTTTCCTCCGTCACGACAGGGACAACGGTACCGCCGACTGCTGCTGCAACCTCGCCGCCCACGCCAGGTGACTCAAGCATCCATGTTTGCTGTAGCACGGCTGATGGTGTGCTAAGTGGTTGTCGAAGGACGCGATGTTGTGGTTGGCGTAAGGTCCGGAATGTTTTGGCGTTGGTAGGTCGAGGTGCGGATACCACGATTGAATTGCGTGCTCCGGCATGAAAGGCACGTACGACTGGAGGCAACGCGTACAACGCCAACAAAACTCATTTTACCCCATTTCCGTCTTGGTGTTGTCGGGACCGTGAACCGTGGGTGCACGTTTTCCTCCGTCACGACAGGGACAACGGTACCGCCGACTGCTGCTGCAACCACGCCGCCCACGCCAGGTGACTCAAGCATCCATGTTTGCTCTAGCACGGCTGATGGTGTGCGAAGTGGTTGTTGAAGGACGCGGTGTTGTGGTTGGCGTAAGGTCCGGTATGGTTTGGCGTTGGTAGGTCGAGGTCCGGATACCACGATTGAATTGCGTGCTCCGGCATGAAAGGCACGTACGACTGCGGGCAACGCGTACAATGCCAACAAAACTTGTTTTGCCCATTTCCGTCTTGGTGTTGTCGGGACCGTGAACCGTGGGTGCACGTTTTCCTCCGTCACGACAGGGACGACGGTACCGCCGACTGCTGCTGCAACCACGCCGCCCACGCCAGGTGACTCAAGCATCCATGTTTGCTCTAGCACGGCTGATGGTGTGCTAAGTGGTTGTTGAAGGACGCGGCGTTGTGGTTGGCGTAAGGTCCGGTATGGTTTGGCGTTGGTAGGTCGAGGTGCGGATACCACGATTGAATTGCGTGCTCCGGCATTAAAGGCACGTACGACTGGAGGCAGCCCGTACGATGCCAACAAAACTCATTTTGCCCCATTTTCGTCTTGGT